AAGGATATAGTGCAATTTTTCCAACAGTATCAATTTTCACATGGTACACGAAAAGCCAGCTTCTTTGCTTCAAAGCCCCACAGGAAACTGACCTCTCACGCTTCCCTTTCACGCACTCTCTCTGTTCCATGCAAGATGGAAGTTACAAGTTACATTTCAACAATGGAAGATAACGAACTGGAGCATTCTCCAGATCAAACACAAATGGAAAACCAAGAAATTCCCAGAAGAAAGAAGGGTGGTCTCATTACCATACCATTCATAATAGGTAAACTGCAAAACTTACATTGGAGCTCATTTCTTTGCATTCTATCAAACAGTTGACGATCAAACTAGAATTACCATAGTTCTTACAGTCTTTTTGCTTTAGTTTTTGATAATTTCTGCATATGGGTTATTATTATTTTTTAATGATTTTTAGTGATCTTTGGTGCTGCATCTTGGCATCTTGGTTTAATTTTGGGTGTTTATTGTGAAATGAACTTCAGCAAATGAAGCATTTGAGAAGATGGCCAGTTATGGATCGTTACCAAATATGATATTGTACCTGATGAAAGACTATCATCTGAGTGCTGCTAAGGGCGCCAACATTCTGTTCATCTGGTCAGCTGCTACCAATTTCACGCCTCTTCTGGGTGCTTTCATCTCTGATTCATATCTGGGTCCTTTCCTAACCATTGGCTTTGGTTCCATTGTCTCTCTCCTGGTAAATTCTATTCCCTTGGTAACTGCCTTTTCTTTTTAAGGCTACTTAGTTTCTTTATTTTCTGCTCCAAAAAATTGGTGTTCTTGCTTCTTAATATCTTTGTGTATGTTTTAGCATATTGAAGCTGGATATATAATCAAGCGATTATATGCATCCAATGACATTTTGTGGAGATTGGACCTTCTTTAATCAGAATGATGGTTCTTTTCCGGTGACAATTTCATTCAATTTTGATGAACATAGATGTTAAATGAAAATTGTAGTATGAATTGTAGGGAAAGCAATAAAGGATTTTTTTAAGAAAAATTTGCTTGCTATGCGCATTAATTAATTCAAATAATGCCTTGTATTATCTCGCTAAAATAAACTGCATTGAATTTTGCTTATTTTAAGAGAATCATGCTGGATTTTTAGTGTATTCAATTAACGACTAAATGCTTGAAGTAATTAATTAATAAACTTGATGCCTTGCATCATGTGATCCAATTAAGCTTGCATTGCTGTATTCTTAGTTTAAGAGAATAATGCTGGACTTTTATGACATAGGGGATGATTCTTTTATGGTCAACGGCCATGATTCCGGAATCAAAGCCTCCCCCTTGCATTCCATCAACCCAAAGCTGTAAATCCCCAACAGTAGGAGAAATGACTCATCTGCTCTCCTCATTTGTTCTGATGTCCATTGGAGCCGGTGGTGTTAGGCCATGTTCCATAGCATTTGGCGCTGACCAATTGGACATTAGAGATAACCCAAAAAATGAGAGGTTCAAAGAGAGCTACTTTGGCTGGTATACTGCTTCTACATTGGTTGCTCTTCTTATTTCATTCTCAGGTATCGTTTACTTGCAAGATCATCTAGGATGGAAGGTTGGTTTTGGAGTTCTAGTTATCCTAATGTTCCTCTCTGTGACGATGTTTTTCATTGGTGCTCCCCTCTACACCAAGCAAAAACCAACCAAGAGCATGCTAACGAGCCTTGTCCAAGTAATTGTAGTTGCTTACCGAAAAAGAAAGCTCACATTAGCCCCTCCAAACTTAAGTGAGTGTTACCATCACAACAAGGATTCAGAGATTGTTGTTCCAACAGACAAAATAAGGTATCTCTGCATGCCATTGATGATGTTTATAATTTTATATATGTTGCACATGAATTTTTTTATCAACATAATTTGTTGCTTTTCTGCTCTCAGACTTCTGAACAAGGCCTGCGTCATTAGAAATCCTCAACAAGATATAGCTCCAGATGGCTCAGCTATCAACCCATGGAGACTTTGCACGATAGAGCAAGTGGAAGAGCTCAAAGCACTATTAAGGGTCTTACCATTGTGGTCTACAGGGATCATGCTTTCAATAAATAATAGCCAAAACTCATTCCCCTTGCTCCAGGCTAGCTCCATGGACAGACACATTTCTAAAAATTTTGAAATTCCAGCAGCTTCTTTTGGTAGCTCTGGCTTTATGATCACTATGGTGATATGGATTATTCCTTATGACCGTGTAATTCTCCCAATGGCCTCAAAGATCAAGCATAAACCAGTAAGGCTTGATGTTAAACTGAGAATGGGAATTGGGCTATTTCTTTCCAGCATGGCAATGGTTACTTCAGCAATTGTTGAGAATATCAGGCGAAAAAAGCCAATCCAGGAAGGCTATTTAAACAACAGTAATGCAGTGTTGGACATGTCTGCAATGTGGCTCATACCACAATATTGCTTGCTTGGCTTAGCTGAAGCTTTTAATGGAATTGCCCAATCAGAGTTCTTTTATC